ATCCTCCATCCAGCATGGCCTCAATCCAAAAAAGTCAGACTCTGCCATTTTGGTCTCTAAAGGTGCCACTAGACTCCTTTGTTGCTTTGATTCTCATTTCATTTCCCCTTCCACGTGATCTGCATGGTCTGGTAGGGACTTTCCATGAACACTCTTACCAATCTGGTCTCACCCTACTTCAGTATTTATTGGTTCTGAATGCAACAGGATACTTTTGGTCCCCAACCAGCCACATCTCAGCAACATTGCCCTCTCCCACCCACCTTGATAACTCCATGTACATAGCACCATAAATTCACTCTACCTCCCATACACTTTTACACAGAGAAGACAATCACATATACGGAGACACAGTCATTTAGTTGGAGGTGAGGTGAGGATTCAGGGCAGGGAAAGTGACCTTAATACAGGGGTGGTCAACTACAGCAAGTCCAAAGGTGAATTTTCTGCCTCTGAAGCTCTTTGTGTGCCACATAGACTGCCAAAAAACGAAATGTGAAATAGGCAGGAATTTCATTCCCAGTTTAGAAACCTTGATAATTATATGTTTAAAAGAGCAAGGGAGTTCTGCAATCTATTCAAAATACGAATTACTACTCCTGGAGGCTTCCTGGAGATGCAGCTCTCTGGGAGAGTAAAAAAGAGAGTCTGGGAAATTTGGGGCAGTTAAGGGTCATAAAAATACCCTTGGGGGGCTTATGTGATCCCAGGGCTACAGTGGATCACACACTGGATCAGAGTGGAGACTGCAGTCAGGAAATCAGGAGACTGGGAATGGGTAGGGCAGCTATGAAGGAACTAGAAAAGATCATAAAGAGCAAAGATATGCAACTAAACACTAATGCCAAAGTCATCCAAGCCATTATATTCCCCATTACCAGCTTCTTTGAGAGCTGGACAGCAAAGAAGGCCAATAAGAGGAAAATCAATGCATTTGAGAGTGTAGAGGTTACTGTGGACAGCCAAGAGGACAAACAAATGAGTTAGAATCATAGAATCACAGAATCATGACCAAGAGGCTGTCATACTTTGGCCACATCATGAGAAGACATGATTCACTGGAAGAGACAATAATGCTAGGAAAGGTAGAAGACAGTAAAAAGTGAGGAAGACCACATCCCAGGTCGATAGACTCAATCAGGGAGGTCACAGGCATGAAACTACAGAAGCTGAATAGAACAGTGACAGACAGGGGGTCTTGGAGATTTCTCATATACAGGATCGTCATGGGTCAGGAACAACTCAAGGGCAGTTAATAGCAAAGATAAATGTCCTCAAAATATTTCTAGGAAAGCAGAACATATTTTGGAACATTTTTCCTGCATCCCTCCTCTCGAATGCTATTTTCTCCCTCATGGCAAGGTCATGAACGCCCTCTGTCCAGCATCACATTATAATGTAGCACAAGGTCAACGGTCTCAGGACAGATACCTAGTCCTGCCCCCTTCTGGCTGCAAAGAGATGGCACAGCAGTAATCTAAAAACAGCAGCTGAGGCCTCAGTAGCAGAGAAGAAAAGAACAATTCAAGACTGTTTGTTTATTTGTTTGTTTGTATGAAGGATTTATATCTTGACCTGCAGGGTGACTTTCACAACACATCCTTTTAAAAAAAAAATCCAATGGTACAACAATAAAATATAAGAAAGCAGAGCACCTAACAAAACATAGCAAAAGGTTTACACAATTTCAGGTTCTCTACTCCATCCCTACCCGCATTTTGCATATGTGCTCATGCACATGCATGCACATGCATACGTGCACACACACACACACACACACCACACATTAACAGTCAGCATTTCATGGCCACTGAGTATGCTCAGTTGTCATTGGGCTGGTAAGGGCATGTTCCTTCCCATAGTTTTGTTTTTGTTCTACTTGACTTCCACCAAGAGCATTGACAACCTCCTTCTCATGCAGGGGTGGGACTGTTTTGGCCAGATGAACAAAAGCACTTAAGCCTGAACATGCAAAATAGTAGGGGTGATCAAACAAAACAAACATTACAGAACAGCCACATAGTGACCCATGGTGGGGCAGTGGCTGAATTGTTTGACTGAGAGGAGCAATCTTGGTTGAAGTCTCCACTGAGCCCTGAAATTGACTGAGTGACCAAGGACCAGACACTCTCACTTTGTCTGATCTACATCAACATGTTGTTGTGAGGATAAAGTGTCAAGGAAGAGAGGTATGTGCTTTATCTTGAGCTCAGTGGAAGAGAGATGGGATATAGATACTGATCATGACAATGGGAGAGCCAGCTTGGTGTGGTGATTTGAGTGTTGGACCAACATCCAGGAGACCAAGGATCATAACCCTGCTCAGCCATGCAAACCCACTGAGTGACCTTAGGCACATCACACTTCCCTCTCAGCCTCAGATGAAGGCAATGGCAAACCCCATCTGAACAAATCTTGCCATGGAAACTCTGTGATAGGTTCAGCTTAGGGTCACCATAAGTCAGAAATGACTTGAAGGTACACAACAACAAAATGGCAACAGTACTGAAATGAGAGGTTGAACCTAGAGCATTTAACATGCCTCTGATTCTTATTTGCCTACTTCACGTATCGTGGAATCACAGATTTGAAAGGGACTGCAAGGGCCATCTAATCCAACCCCTTGTCATGCAGGAATACACACTAAAGCACACCTGAGAGATGGTCATCGAAAAAAAGAAAGTTGGTCCATCAACTTCCTTCCAGATTCCTACTGGCTTCTGCCTCTGCCCTTGCCTCTGGGCTACATGGACTAACATGCCATGCAAGAACTCACAATCAAAGCACCCCTGACAGATGGCCATCCAGCCTCTGTTTAAAAACCTCCAAAGATGGAGACTCCACCACCTCCGAGCGAGAGTGTTCCACTGTCAAACAACTCTTACTGTCAGGAAGTTCTTCCTAATGTTGAGGTGGAATCTCTTTTCCTGTAGCTTGCATCCATTTTTCCATTATCCTATTCTCTGGAGCAGCAGAAAACAAGCTAGCTCCCCCCTCAATAT